ATATGTTTAAATGATATAAAGATCTTAATATATTTTTCTGTCATCAGCATTATAATAATGACAAGAAACAATAAAACTTGTCTTCAAAGGATATGTTATTCTTAAACTTCAAACGAAAAACTTCCTGTGTAACTACATCTCAAAAATTGCAAAATTTTCTTAACACCAGACGGTCACTTTTTATAGGACATAAAGAACTTCAAGAAAGAATAAGCGGCATACACAGGTTGATACTGTCAGTAAAATAAAACCGAATCTTTTGACTTCCTTAAGCTCATAAATAAAACGATACATAGTTTGTATGCATTTAAATGATATCAGGGATGGAGGAAAGTAGCAGTACAGAGACGTTCAAGGTCGGTCAGGAATGGACCGTTATAATTGTTGCTATAGATGCATAGCTTTGCAGCAGGGTGCTCCTATGCAAACAGAAACGTTCCGATTTCCTTCGATGAACAAATGTTAACAGCATTTATAAATGTGTTTACGACTATATCTTTGAAAAGTTTCAAAAGTTTACTTAGTTAATATACAGCAATAAGCTTCCCGAGATCAGCTGAATTCCTTGAAAAACTCATAACCTTTTTGCAAAGCCATTACATTTTTTATTTGCAAAAATGTTGTGAAAGAAAATGTCATCAATGCAAAACTCTATTGATTTGCTATTCTCTAGACAAAAATAGAGGATGTTCCTTCACTGTTCAAAACTAGCTGCTTGTACTACTCCCATTTTTAGGTCATACCGAATCATGCCGAATCCATAAAATGCATTTCTTTTTTTATCATGGATATATTTTATGCGTATTGAAATGTTGTGAATCGCTCTTGTTATATAGTTTCTAATATACTGATGAAAAAAATATAGAAAAAAGTCTAAATAACTCTTAGAAATTTCAGAAAGTTTCGCTGAAATTCAAAAAAAAATTGTAAGACAAACTGCTGAAACTCAAAAATGAAAAAGAAAGAAATCTTTACTCCTTTTCCCTTCTCTTCGACAGCTCGTATTTCGGCGTCGAATTTTTTCTTCCATGCTAGAAATGTTTCGGGTGTTACTCGGGTACCTGTAAAACTTTGAGTGAGTTTCAGGAAATTTCTACACTTCTGTCGCTCTATCAACCCCAGAGCACTTTTGTAATTTTCAATTCAAAATTCTAAAACTCAAATACCTTCAATTTATCAATAAATTACTTTTGTCTCTTATAAACCAAATAATGATTGAAAAACAACAACGATGCATTTTAATTATGAAAAAAATGAAAATGAAATGAACAAAGAAGTCTAACAAAAATTGAATAATATGACAGAGATAGGAAGAAAGTATGGAGTGAAATACAAAAACTATTGTATCCAAATTACAGTCCGGTAGTGATAGAAGTAGTAGTGGAAGTATTGGTATTAATAAAGAAAAAAGAGAAGAATTAGAGAAAGTAGAAATGTGAAGAGGAATTGGAGAAGCATGACATTCAAGTGCAGTCATCTTTGTCATTTCGTGTCACAGTAGTAGTGGTTGTAGGAGACGCAGCGAAAACAGCAATAACTACAGCAGTGATTCTCGTTTCGCGTACTGATGAAATCATTTACCGCCTTCATATTCTATCCTACAACATCTTAGCACATTCCACTTCGCACACTAAACTCCTTTCAATAAAATATCAAAGGTAGGCCAATCTGCAACATCTCATTACTCTCATCACTGTACAACAAAGAGATGCCAGTAGTCAACTGAATACAATCATCTCTGTTACACTTTTCTCCCTAACGAAAATGAGTGCAATCTGAGACAGGGAATCGAAGCATAATTAAAACCTTTTATAACAAGCTCTTTAAAAGTTCAGTTATCAAAATAAATTGTGTTGAAATGATACTTTTTTGAAAAAATACCAGCTTCTCCCAAATTTCTTCCCTTATTCATTAGTCAAAATTTGATTACCAAAATGGATAAATTCTGGACAACAAAGTAACAATCTATTTTAATAAGCATTACATAAACCCTGCAAGATAGCTGATTTCAGCTAAATAAAGAACTGATCAACGGAGTGCATAATTTATGGTTGTATGCCATTTTCGAATTTATTTAATAACATGCAACAAACCACATGTTAGTTATTCAAACTGAATGAAATGTCTTTAAAAGTGTAATAAGGTAACTTTTTGATGCTATTAATATTTCAATATTTTCTTTAAATAGAATATGCTAAATAAATCAGTTTAACTATTGCAAATTTTGACAGGATAAATTCCAAAATAAATTAAAATTAATGTTTTTCACAACTTCAATCTATCTAGCCATAGTACCAAAGCAAAAAATAAAAACCTTCAAATTTCTTTCTTTCTTGCGTTTCTTTTTCTTCTTCTGCTCTTTCCTCCGCTTTTATTTTTTCGGCTTCTAAGTCTTCTAATAAATGTCCAATTTCATCCTATATAATCAAGATAAAATGTCTTGATTCCCACAAAAACTGTTCCTCTGAGGAAACATAAAAGAATGATTTGACTGTGGTGGTCAAACTTTTTTCTTTTTTTAAACAAAGACGAAGTTGCAAAAGTTGCCATATTTACTTTTCCTCTACAATATTTTAGACTATTTAGGAGACTATTATGAAATGTTGCAAAATAACAAAAACCTGTAAAGCTGATACGATGGTGAATACCATTGGCATACCGAGATTGTCTTGCGCTACATCACACAATATCCTTTGCACTCTTCCAGTACGTTCATTACTGAATGTGTTCTCCAGTCCAACTATTTCAATTTCTGGTACAACATCTGGATAACCGGCTGCTAACCGAAGATTCAACGTCACTTCGAACATAGCAGGAACTTCTTTTCCCTTAAAACCAAGAATTGCTTATGAACGAAAGCAATGAAAATTAGACATGAAAACTCGAACCCTCAACTTTCTTATTCTAACAGATCAATCTGCAGGCAAGCGCGTTACGTATTATATGAGGAAATAATATACATAGTAAAACTCCGAAAATCTGTGCTAACTTCACACAGTCAAGTAAAGCGACTTAAAATTCACGGCATTTCACTCCAATGTTGATTTGAATGTGAGATTGTTTTATGTCACAGAATGATTAATAATTTAAAAAGATTGACTGAAACGGAATTATTCTGTTGTGAAGTGAAAGATGATGACGTGTAGAATCTATTCAAAACGTATCATAAAAACGTGTGCAAATTAAATAGCACGAAAAAGCAATAAATTAATATTAGACATAAAATATTTCTTACTACAATATCCACTTTACATTGGCCTAACGAAATTACCTGATGAGATTGTAATGATATCCTCATGGCGATATTGGGGTATTTGTCGGACACAACTTCTAACTCATTTGGGTAGATCACTCCAAGTGCCTCAAGCTCTTCAGCCTGTATTTCTTTGTAATCCATATCTTAAAATTATCAAAACATGCCTATGCTATCCATATTTGAGTTGGCTCCAACACATTTCACATTATATTTACACAATCTAATGAAATTTTCTACTATATTTTCATAAAACACAGAGAACCTTTTTACTGCAAGTCCCAAGACTAAATTTTAGTAAACTTAGTAGCATTTCTATCTATCCGTTTCTCCCTTCAAACTAGCCTAATTTTGTTAAAGATAGTGCAAAACACGTGTTAAAATGTAAATAATGAAAGTGAAGTCATTATGATCCCAAGTAAACTTTTGAAATGAAAGACATCAATTGTAAAACATCAATTATACCATAAGCAGCACAATAAAAACCATCTCCAAAATACGTGGAGGTTCAGGAAGAAGCTTCGATACGAATGATGTAAACGAGGTTGTGTTCAAGTTAATCTTCAAAAAATTACCTGATTTTAGACCATAAGTCTAGTACTTTTTATCTTTTATTCTTTATTAGCCACAAACATTTTCAAATTATTTCTCACATATTTTTTCGTATTGCAAATTTTCAACTTGAATTTATCGAATTCTGTTTTCATTTACTGTCAGTGAATTTATAGATAGAAATAGACTTCTCACATAGAACGCAGACGAACAACTTTAAATTAGAAAGGAAATTAGATTCCGGACTTTATATACAGTTTTTTTTTGCGTGGAGCAGGTAGTAACTATTCCGTGAATTTTCGATTTTTTCATTAGAGACAAATAAATTTTTCAATTTGAATTGACGAAATCGAAGATTTCACTGCCGAAGTTTTCTGAAAAACTTTATTCCAGAAACATTTTCAAGAAATACATAATCATTACATATGGTATAAAAAAATGACAGCTTACCAAACTAGACGAGTAAAGAGATATAATACCTATAGAATAATTAAGTTTTATTACAAAAGAATGAGGTTTTTATTAGAGTTAAATAATTTAAAACAAACGAAAGACTGAATCTATATGTCAAGAAGCAGTTTAGAAGTGATGAGGTAGTCTACGAAATTCCACTAATTTTTAATCAAAATTTAAATCGAAAGGACAAGATTTCGACCGAACACATCAATTCTATTTGCAACTAAGTTTTGAGCAAATGGTCGAATGCATACATTATAGTTTTTCAAAACAATAGAAAAAATATATAAAAAGAGAAGAGGAAGATAAAAATGAAGTATATAAAATATCAAAATAAATGTATTTTGTTGGCTACTCACTAAATTTCCAATGTCGATGGTCCTATACTTTAAAATCAACTATTCGGTCAAGTATTTTTTGCTTTCAGAGTATATTTGAAAATAGAGATATGAATTTCAACTGCTTTCTTAAGGTCCTCCACAAGAATATGTTCATCTTTGGAATGAGCATTTGTAATTGAACCTGCTCCAAATAAGTATGCTGCTTTCAGTTTATCACGAGCTATGAAATAAGGTAAATCAGTATTGAATGCCACCACTTCTGAGTCGTAAGGTGGTGGTGGAGCTGAAAAAACAACTAACTGAATATAGAATAAAAATAATATGAGTGTTTTGAAGTGTAATTTGAGTTAAACTTCAGTCTTAAACTATAGATTGAAAAGATTTCATTAATTATTTCCCGATTAATATTTCCAATATTTTATTTTTGTAGGAAAACAGAAAACTATTCATTAATAATTTAAAAGAAATCCATTATGTATTTTGAAACCTAATAAGAAGTGAATACCTGTGAGAAATATTGGTTCATTTTTGCCAAATGATTGATCAATTTTGGCACGTCCATTAACAATATTTTCTAACTGTTTCAAAATATCAGCAGTAGATGTAGTTACGCGGAAGAAAATAGCTGCCGAAGCATGTTCCGCCAAAACATTTAACGCTTCGCCGCCCGATATGAGGCCAATATTTACAGTTGTTGATCCTAAAAATATATTTTCATTTGAAAAATGCCAGTGATCTGAAGTAAAATTAACTGATCATTCTAACATAAATTATAGCATCGATCTTTTGTAAAAATGTACTTCTATCGTTGAAGTTCAAGAAGAACGAGTACAGTTTCCCTGTAACTATCATAATTCTATTGTATCCTCAATTTCTAAAAGAAAAAGTAATCAGAACTTAAAAGATAGCAACAAACATTGGATCTTGTTCTTCAAATTATACAAATACTATAAGTGGTGCAGACCAAATGTTTTGTCAGATGGCCACTCGTGTGTTCGGATATCATGCAGAATATCCAGCAGCTTATCGATAGCACTATCACCCAAGTGTGGATAACCAGAATGTGCCGCTTTCCCATGAACTTTTAATATTACCTGAAAAAGACAAGGGATTTCAAAAACAGAAAGGTAGAATGGAAGCAATAAAATTGCTTCATAAAATATAAAAAAGGACAAGATTCAATTTTACTTTTCTTTGAACATCAAAATAGTCCTGAAATTTCCCAAAGTCATCGTTCGACTCAATTATTACTGCTGGAACAACAAGGCATTAATTTTTAACGTATACCTGTATTCTCGGAGACCTACGCAGTAAACATAATTTACTGAACCTATTACCGTCTCTGACTTGGAGTCAGTGAAGTAGCTTAATGAGTAATTAATGTATTACCGTCTAAAAAAGTGTAATTTTAGACTTGGGTGCCAAACCAGCAGCAAGAAAACTTAGTGACGCCATGAATCACTTTCCTGAAATTTCGGCATCTTACGGATGTCAAAGACCTGTTTCTCAGCTTAAAATCTAGCCACAATAAGTTTGTTATGAAAGAAGTATCCTGAAACCAAAAGCTTATGTCTAAAGTTTTATTATAAAGTCCCTTCGAACAATGAGAAGTAGTAAACTCATTCATTCAGAATTTAACCTGATCTACACCTCATACAATGACTTACTTTCACTGCTCCTTTCTGTAAACGACCAAATTTCAATTCAGTTGGTTCACCGATCATAAAAAATTCCGGGACCAATCCTAGATTGTTTGCTTCCTAAAAAACGGCATATGTGATACACAAATGACAACAAAGAATCAACTATTATACTCTTGTTTTCTTTTGATTGAACTTCCGTCCATTTTTCTCTCTCTCCTATCCATTCCTCTTTCAATTTTTTTAATGGAAGGATGAATTAAGACGAAGATTAAGTGATATTTGTAATGTTTTTAACAGCAATAAATAATCCGTGGATTTCCAGGACATGCTGTATATTAAACATACCACCATGCCAATGTGATCAAGTTCTTCACTTACAACCAGCAGCAGACCGATATTTTTAGCAAGGTCTGGATCCTCTTTCGCTATTTTTTGAGCAGCAAACACCATTGCTGCCAACTGTCCTGCAAATTTTTAATGAAATTCAAATTTGAACTATTCAAGCCGAAAAAAAAGGTAAAGATCTTGAATGATTTTCGAATATTCAAACATTGAGATATTTATTCTTCAGAATCTATTCCACTTAGTTGTTTTAAGTTAAGATTTGACTCTTGACAAGCAAGCTTTCGAAAAATAAGGCGAGAGAGAGAAATACTGAAAGGGAGGAAAGAAAGAGATAATGCAGAGTAAGCAATTACTGCAAATTTAAAACAAAACCTTTCGCATCATTTGCTCCTCTTCCTGTTACTTTAGTGCCATCATATGATGGTGGAATATACGGTGGAACTGTATCCATATGAGTATTCAACACATATCGAGGTCCTTAAATTGATGAAACAGTACAACTGCTTACTTAAGTTTACGCATTTTTATTATTTTTATGAGAATTATTTTCATTATAAAAATTATACTCTTTTCAAAAATAAAAATTGTTGTCTTTGAACTGTGAATTTTTTTGTTTCAAAAAGGCTTAAATTTTAGCGTCTTTGGTAACCGACCTGGCGCTATATATGGAGTCTTCGTAACCAAAAGATTGTGTCTTTTTGGATCACTTTTCAACGGTTGCTCTAATACGTGCCATCCGGTTGCCTTGAAATACACTGTTAACGCCGCCGATAAGTCTTCTAAAATATTTTAAATTAAAGAATAATCCGAAGAAAATCTACATCACTTTATTTCATACCAAACTTTGCAAAAACTGACACAAAATTAGCAAAACTCACACAATTTATACGACGATATGAGTAAAAATACTGTCATACCTTCATTTCCAGTGCAGGAATTGATTTTCATCAGTTCCATTAAAAAGATTTCAACACGTTCTTCATTGGGATTTAATAACGGCAACGTGGGCATAATGATTAGTAATCAATGCCCGAATTAATTGAAAATCAAATTTAAATCAACTGAAAATTTAAGCCACATGAAATATGTGCACCAAATTGGTATTAACGCTAAAACTTAACTACAAGAAATAAGCAAAGCTTATTGCAAACAACTTTGAAAATATATTCGGAAATTATTGGAATAATATTTGTCACAGATTTTATCGATCTCGCCGTCTCCTTCACCACAGCAATCTTTTCACCACTGTCAATTTCTAACACAGCACAAGTTTCACCATTCTTTTGCTTCCACAATTTCCTTATCTTCTCAACCGTCCTATTCATTGAGAAACCATCCTTCCTACCCTCCTCCACCTACAATTTCTCCACCTACCTTTTACCGCCTTTAATGACAGACTGGTCGAGAATGGACGGTTGACATTCATCAATCGACGTTGTGGAAAAATGAATTGGAAGGAAGGAACGATATGAAATATCACGTCTTAAGTCAACACCAGCATGATACTGACGCACGTAATCTATTGAAATATGCAGTAAGCGTTGAACAGAAATTAACGAATTTCTCATAGTGATTAACAAGTGCATCGATAGCACGCTAAAATGCATGCAGTGTAATGTAAAAATGACACGAAGACGGAACGCAACAAGAATTATATAAAATTCGCCTCGTTATTTGCCAAAAAAAATTAGAGCTTTGAATGTTTTGAAGTTTGGAAAATTCACTGATCATTATGCAATTTTTTGTTCAAGAATGTCTCGCACATCTTTTGAATCATTAAATTGAGTTTACAGCTTAAACAATTGGCTCGTTATAATGTTCCTTTCTTCGCGAATTTTTCCTAATTCTTAAAAATTTCAAAAAAGTTCATCTAAAAGATGTGCCTTCTCGAACAATGATTATATTATAAATCGATGATTAACTTTAAAGAAGTACATCATTTGTGTCTCAAATCAGATTTATCATTTATTTCAACTTAATCATTTATTGATCCTTTCTTTGAAAAGAAAAAAATTTGCAACATTGTCGATGGTCAACAATGACCCCCTTATTTAATCCGTATATATATTGTTGTTGACGGAGTACATTCTAGCGGTCATTGCATAGACATTGATGGTCAGAGTTGTTTACGATTTGACATTGACATTGCGTAACCGTACAATTGCAAGGGAATGACGTCATCGTTAAATTGATTGATTTTCATTTAAAAGTTTATTTTGAAATGGAATAATTAATCTCACTGTAGCAATAATTCATCTTTCAATCATTGGAATAAAATTTACTTTCTATGGTACTTATCACTTTTTGCAACAGATATGTCACGATAAGGAGGGAGAAAAAATAAAGGTGCATTTATTGCATACCTGAAGAGGGAAGTTCTAAGGCAGGTACCTATCTAAATACCCTTAGTGACGATAAGTAGTGTTTTTGCTCCAATTGCCTGCAATCCAACCAGTTTTACCTCTGACCCTTTCTCATCCCCTTCCCTCTCCCGCCATATCCATATAGTTTGTTTACGCTGTTGCCAACAATTATTATTCATTCCTACACATCTCTCATTCAGGTAAACAACTCGGTTGCTTATGCTTCTTATGGTATCATTAAGTTTGAATTCTAATTTTGTAGTCATATTCGATTCGTTGCCAAAATTCCTTTATCACAATTTATCTGTTTAATTTCATGCATTTCAACCATGTGTGGTTGAATGACATTATTCAATCCAAACAGTGAAACACTTCCCCAAATGTCGCCTTTGCATTTATTTAAACGCGTAAATGAACAAATAATGTGCGGAAATAAGGATTACCTTCTGTCCGAATGCACTCAAAGCAGTTCGAATTTAATGAATTTCTTGTATGAGAATTGAATTTCGAAATTTTCAATAATAGCATTCTTATCAAAAAGCAATCACAAGGGGATCAATTAATTAAATTAATAATTCTATGAAAATTCAGTTAAACTTAGTTAATTATAGAGCTCTGTGATGAGTTCAACTGACTTCTATTTAATATATCGTGCTAGAAAAGGGTCATTTCAAACAAATTCTTAATCATCAGGTCATTTGTAATTTTCAGCTCACATTTATTGTTTAACGTTTTAACAGAAGTGTGTGAAAATTTCCAATTTGGTTATTACTTGCTGGAAGATTGCTATAAGAATGGAATGTTCCATTGGTGAGTAATATTGCCGTCTTTTGTTAATACTAATAATGTTTATTTTTAATTCCCCAGCCATTAAAATATGTGCATTTTTCAGAATTTGTCCAGGATTTAACAATGTCCTGTTTTCCGGAAGAAAAGTTTCATTCCATTACATGCATTTTATCTAAAAATATCTTTAAAACTTATAAACAAAATTCACATATTTACTATTAATACTACTTAATATAGTAATAGCGTGATTCTTGGGAGAAAATGTAATATACTAAAGAAAGCTAAATTTTTCTTAAACAATTTATTTTTGTTTAAATCATAAATTCATCCATATTATTTGATTAATTGATATTATTGATTAGTTTTTAATTTTTAAAGTGGATTTTGCTAATTAAAACATTTCTTTCTTACTATTTTCTCTTCTCTATTTTCTATTATTATCTGGAATTTTTGAGACCGTTCAAATTGATTATTACTTAGAATTGTAGAAATGGAATGTCAACAATGTAAAAAAAGCAATGTGAATAAACGTAAAGTTAAACAAAATGAAAGTTTACCAAAACGGAAGAAATGTAATGAATCGAACGACAATTCTGTTGTCCAACAGCAAATGAATAGCGTATGTGTCGGAATATAAAAATTTTTTTTTAATAATTTGTTGCATATTTTTTTATTCATTAGAATGTAAAATGTGCGAATGTCATGAAATTGGAATACTATAATAAATTCATTTCATGTTTTATTATTTGATTTTATTTTAGAATACCGGCCAAAACAACAATACAAAGGCAGTTCAAGGAGCCACTGAGCCGACTTCTAAGCGACGGCCAATTAACCTGATTATCAGACATTTTCCAACATTTTCATCTTCCTTAGCTACTGCTCCAATTGCTCGAATTTCAGGTCCTCCAATGATTTCAGATGCTTTAGGTGTTATGAGGCAGCAGACTTCAAATAACGCGCAAAGAATTCCGCTCAGAATAGCTCGACATGTTTCAAGCAATCAGGAACAGGATCGTCTCATCAGAGATATATCCGGAGATAAAGTAGCAGAAGGTCATTTAAATGGACAGATTGCTGTTGCAGTTCCAGATTACCGGGAAGGATCAAATATTAATCGAGGGAGATCAGATGGATTTCGAACTCCTTTGCAATCATCGAAATCATATTTTAAATATTGTAATGATCTTTTGATGGCACCAAAGAAGCGTCATTGTCCTCGCTATCATAGGACGACAGAACCTTCAGCGGCATTTATGTTAAGACTACCACGTTGAAATGATTGAAATTGATTATTTCTTTCCTGAGGAAAGGAAATTATATTAATAATTGGTCAAATTGAAGTGAAAAATATTTCATATATTATATAAGCGATATTGCAATCTTTATTTTTTTCTTATATATTTTTTAAACTGTTTGTATTGGAATTCTTATTTTCTTTACAGTTTAAAGAATCATTTGAACCATAATTTTTAGGATCATTCCAAGTTTTATTTGCATTGAGAGTTAACACTTTGCAAAATAAATTAAATGATCTATCTGAGTAAAGATAGCCACAAATTCAAATCATTAATTAATTCATATTGTTTCTGGCAATTGTTGCACGTACAATTAATTTGCTATGAGAACATCACACCGGGATGATGAGAAATTGCTCCGATTATATTGGATACTATATAATAAGTATACTATAATGAGAATTTTAATTCTGACCGTGTTCATACACGTTCGGAATTAAAAGTATTCTTTTTCCTTTCTCTCTATTTGATTGTTTCTGTGTTATGAATTTTCAAATTAATTTCTCGATTTTTCCAACTTTTGTTTGAGGAAACCATTTAGTTGGATTAATCGGACTATTTTCAACTGAGTAACGGTCATTCCAACTGGTTAACATCTCATTTTTCATATATTTACTAATTTTTTTTATCTTTACTAATTATGAAATAATACTGTGTTACACAACTCTTAATTAATTCTTTTAATTTTTTTAATTTTTGCGCGAAATCAACAATTTATTTGAATTAATCGGATTGCTTCTGGCTGGATCACAACTATAGTTCTCGTTTTCGTCATTTTATTGATTACCTTCATTAATCCGTTTTTGATCAATTTAATGACTATGCTAATTAAGAAATAAATAATAATATTGCCTTCAAATTAGAATATATTCTTGGTACTTTTGCTTTTATAATGAGCAAATCGATGTTTATATCAAATCTTTAATTGAAAATATTAAATTGACAAAAATTTTTTTGAGTGAAATGATGGGAAGTGAGAAAATCAGTTGATTCTTTACAACGAAATTTGCTTGCATTGTTGGGGAATTGTTTTCGGATCATAAAGTTTTTTTATAATTTTAATCACCAGACTTTTTAGAAATTACATGAATTACAATAATACAAAAAATAAATAAATGGCATACTTCATAAAAAAACAGATAAGCAAATAGGATTGACAATATTATTCAACTGAATGAAATGGAACAGAAGAAACAATGAAAGATTTTCAAGCTGTCAAATGTGCAGGTAAACTCGTCTGACATACATAATTATAAAGTAGAATGGAAGCGAATCCAGCAACAACAATTCCAATTGCATCACCCAACGAACTGATAGACATTGAAAATTCTCGAACATCCGGTTTCACCTAAAAACTTCTTCAGTAATTTATTACAAATTCGATAATTAATTAAAATTCTTTCAACAGTTATTAACTTCAGTAATAATACGCAATTGTCAGTGTCCTTCGTCCTCCACTGCTGCCACATTAAATACAAATGGTGAACTTAAAAGTTTAATTTAACATTCAGAAGACATTTCTTCTGAATATTAAACTTAATTATACAGCCATATGCTATAAAATTTGAAATTTAGAAGCAAATAGTGCTAGAACAACATTTTCGCTATTTTGAGAGAGTTGTTTTTCTTTTTCCCTCATTTGAATTTAATGACTTCAAAAAAGAAAGAAGTGTTAAATCATTCACTGTTAGCAAATGATCTTGAACTTCTACTTCATTGTGCTCACTAACATGAGATTAAAAAATATAAATTAATTCTGAACTTACGAAATTGTATATATGAGTAAGTGTATTGACATAAGATGAACCGCCGAATAATCCTTCGAATAATATCAATAGAAAGAGAACCCAAACATATGGAATGTAAAAGTAAAGCGATTCTAAGAAAAAGATCAGCAGATTTGCAAACTATAGAAAAGGAAATTGATTAGTGCATTGGTTAGTTAAGATCCGACTTGAGAACTTGATAAAATGATAAGAATAGATAGACGTGAATGGGACACGGAAATGACGTGAACTGATAATCATATTTGATTCATATTTCTTGGTCCATTTAAGCTTTTTTATATAATAAATGAAAAAAAAATATATTGCTCAGACTTCCTACAAACTAGAAAAATCGGTTGATCCTTGAGGCAATGATCACCAATAACTTTTCTCAATTTATTTTCAATTTATAAATTGCATACGGCTATCTAGGATAATAATTTTACACTTTGCATAAAAACAAAGAAATGATGCAATTAATAAGTTTAAGAAAATTAAAAAATTAAATTTACCTGTAGGATAGGCAAAAGTATTAAAGCCCAATAAGGTAATAATATAATGTTTACCGAAGATCGTGAAATGAAAACACCAGCTTGGTAAAACACCTGAAAAATTATCATTACTTTTTAAATTTTGAGACAAATTTAAAAAATTAAAAATCTTTTACGGTTTTTTTCTTCACAACAGTTAAAAAATCTAGATAACATGTTGAAACTTACTTGGTACCAACGGTATTGACTTGATGGCGTAAGATGCCACCCTTTATCATATGAATAAATTATCAACTGGAAAATACCTTGATTTATCAGGTATTCACCGAGATAAACAAGCATCGACGGTATCATAAATCGTAGCAATGACTAAAAAAAGAAAAAATTACAATTTGGAAATTTTTGGTAAAATTTTATTCCAAATATTAAAATTGTTTTTTTTTCAATTCTTGTACTAAAAATTTTTATAGCTTACAGCTGCCGTAAGCAACATTTTTTTAAATGATAGTATGCGTTGTTTGACTTGTTCGGACGATTGGAAAATTAACAGTAATCTCGAGTTCCGTGTGAAGAAAAGAAAAACAAAAAACATTTGCTATGTATAAATTAAAACTCATGATAAGGAAAATATCAATGGTACGATGAGCATTATCAAAAGTGTTATACGTGATAAATTTAGAAAGTGCGGTTCTGTTAAAGCAGCATAAGTTAATGCACTAATTATTCCCGCACCTCCAGTACCCGATGACCATGTTGAGATGGTATTTCTACAAGTATCAAAATTTTAATTTGATAAGTTTTATAGAAAATTTTTATTCACACTTCATATAAATCTTTTACAAATTAACAAAATAATTAAACAAATTTAGTGAAATATGGAGTCAACGAGAGGTAAGTTATTTCACCGAAACCTGAACTAACACTAGCAAATACCACTCCTAAAATGTAATTTTTATTTTTTTTGATTATTCGATATCATGTAAAATATTCGAAGCAAACATATTTATTCTTAACATGAAGTTTGAAATTTGATTTGTTTATGTAGAAAAAACTTTGATTTGTTTAGGAAAAAAAAATTTTGCATGTCAAACATTTATTATCCGACTAATCGATTAAACTTCCATCGTAAATTCCATCATAACAAACCTGTTAAAGACATTACAACTCCCGAGGAAAATGCAACAATTAAATAACTGAATGCTTGCAATGAGCATATTATGAAGTGATGTATCCTGCAAAACAACAATATATTTTCTTTTCAAGCAAAATTAAAATAAAAACAAAATTTTCATTTATTTTGTTAAATCGTTATCAGTCTTTTTGGATCTTTTTTTTTAAATTACTTACTCGAATGGTATCCGTTGTACAAAAAATGTAAATGATAATTTGATAAGAAGACAAAGGGATATCAGCTAATAAAACTGCACCTGTCATCATAATGATACAGTGATGGAAAGTTATTTTATCCTAAATGAAAAATATAATATTGATAATGAATGAATGATAGTACCATAATGATTAGATACTTATTATCAGAAGATAACTTGTCAATTATCGATCCATCACCTATTTTAATTATGTATTATTCAATTAATTATTTTCAAAGAAACATATTTTAATTTAAAATTTACAAGACATTTCGTTTCAACAATTGTCGCATTTTGATGGTCGTGTTTGAGAATATCCTCCGCTGCACTTAGCATGATCACATATGCGAAATTGTTGCACAATCCAAATATCCTGAGTTAGAATTTTTTCGTTCAAGCTTAAACTTTTCATAGTATTCATATATGTGCATAATTTGCAAAAAAAAACATTTGTGTTTTGAACAAAATTATATATCAAAACGTATTAGAATGCTATTTGAAATTCAAAAATTTTCCTTCCATACCAAAATTCCCATTTCTGTTTTGCAGACGATTTCGAAGAAACATTGTTTTCAGTGTTCATATCTGAAATACTGAAATTTTTTGATTGTGAAAGATTTTCCCAGAAAATACATTCGTTCATTGGGGACAACAACAAAAAAAAATTACTCATCATTTAAATATGCATTATTTGTTAGGTTCGAATATATGTTCTCTTTTTAGAGAATTTATAAAAAGCCCAAATTTGTCGAATATATGCAAAAATTTTGGATTTCCGGTGTCAAAATTCGAAAAAAAAAAATGAAACTTTCTAAAAAAAGGAAACAATACTTTGTTGCAAAAGTATGCGCTCATTTAACGAATGAATTCAAAGATCATCGGATGCAACTAAAAGAGCATAAATCAAGTAAATTTAAGAGATGGATGAAATGCATGCAAAATTGAATGTAAATTTTGATTGCATGATTGATGAGGAGGTTTTTTTATCAGTTGATTCATTATCATTATCATTTCTTTTTCCCCATCAATTATTCAATTTTTTGGCATAGAAATAAACAAATTTTATGAGATTATCGCAAGATTGAATAAAACTATTCAGATTTCATGCATTAATAGCAAAATTGGGCGAAAATACTGATCGAAATTATTTCAGCAAAAAAATAGCATCAGCAGTATCAGTGTTACATTTATTTTTTAGAATTAAAATCATTATTTTTCTTTCACTAGCAAAAATGAACTTAATTTTTCGTAAGATTTGCATATTTATAATTCAAATTTCGTTATCAGTCGTAAACGGAATAATTTTATCTTTATATAAAATAAATAATCATAATGATAATGATATATTAAAATAGCGACTAGTAGTGTTATGTAATGTAAATGATAACAACAGTAAGCCAGAAAATAAAATGACAAACACAAATCGTACGATTGCTTCTGTCTGCGCTTTTGGAACTTGTCCTGGCTTCATTCATCAGCAATTTCAAGTCAAATTTTTGAAACGTTTTTGTTCTTAAAGTAAATATTGTCGGATAAGATGTAAACAACATTTAATTTTTTGTTACGAAATTGTTAAACTAATTTTTCATTTTAATAATTGAACAATCATCTCATGTTACTTATAAACATTAATCACTGGCAATTTTGAGTATTAAATTGTATGAGCGTAGGCGGAAATGTCCTAATAATTTAACTGATATCATGTTTTGAGAATGAGACAAAAATAAGATTTTAAGACTTTAGAGAAAATCTGATAAAACTCTGATTTACAAAATAAGGGCCTTATTGAAACGGAAAAGATTATGAACAGATTCACTTCCTATTTTCGATTAAACAAAATTTTATTGATTTAAAAGAATTCTTGCTTTGGAATTTTGAAGAAAACAATGAAGTAAAGAGCAATATCACACTACGAGATTGTCTCGTGACTGTTTAACCAATGACCACAATCAGTGCCCGGAAATCTGAAATTTTGTGACAAAAATTGTTTACATGAATTGAGATTTGTATCACTGATTGTTAGACTGAGAAAAATGCGCTTCACAATTCTTGTCTTTTGTTAAATTTAATTTCTTATCATATGATTTCTTTGTATTGCTATAATGTCATTAAGAGTTATTGTTTTATAACACCTTTGTCTTTTTTATGTAAAACAAATGTAGTCATCGAATTCATCGCTTCTTCCTTCCTCAACATGACATTGTCTGACCCCGGGGTTAACCATTAAGCTCCCTACTACCTACTATCCTGGTAGCGCCCAATATTGGAATCTTGCTCGGAACTGTTGTCAAATCTTCTGCTGCTCATTTCATCTATTGATGCTAGAATTGTTCTGATGAAATTCCCAACTATAATATAAATCTTAACAAATAATTTTATCTGTGAATCAACAATAATCAGGTTTGTAAAACTTTCACAAATTTTTTGCATTTTTCCAATTACACTATTATCAATGATATTATTCTGAATGAAATCAATGACAGCTACTATCAAAGCCGCTTTTTAGTCTGTCGTTAAATATAACTATGCAAATTATGTAAAGTTTGCAAAATATACATATATAATGCTGTGTTGTGAAAAATGACGGAAAAAAAGGAAAGGAATAGAGGGAAATGATCGCATGGACGAACTATCGGAGCATTAATGTAAAAGATAAAAGATCAGATAAAAATTGCCTCGCATGCTGTTGAAGATTAAACTTATCATACTTTATATATAAAGATTTTATTTTTTTTTTTGTTTTCATTTTTTAGTATCTGATCAAATTCAATCGGGAAAAATTATGGTTGATCTTCAATCAATATAACTGTTGAAATTGAAATAATTTCTGAAAGATTTATGTGATAAAATTATTTTGTTGTGAGAAGAAAGTATTTAAAAAAATTATATGATTCAGAAAGTTTTTTGGTATGGGAAAGAGAAAGAATGTGAGACAAGTAATTTTTATAGTGTTTGTTTTTTTCATAAAAACAAATATTCCATCCAAAACTTGGATAACAAATTTTTGGTAATTTTAATAAGGAATTAAAGAAGCAAATTGTGAGACAAGTCGAGTGAATTTACTTCGAATCAAACTTTTTTGTTCAATGTTATCTGAACTTTTAGTCAAAAAAAATTCCACACCACATTAGTGAGAATTTAACAATATCAGAAAATAAATTAATTGAGTTTTTACTACGAAAATTCCAGCGATAGAATTGTTGTGTGTAAACATCTAACGTTTGCCTAAAGATGAACTCAATGAGATAAGGTCATGCAGTTTATTCCAATCTACTTTATATCTTCCACATTTATTCACATGTCAATTTCATTACAACATTCTTAACTTTCTTTCCTTCTTTTATTTTTATTAAAATCTTATCAAAAAACATTCAACTTTCCTTATCTCATTTTGTTATTTTTCCATTTTACCATTTGAAATTTTAAAAGCCTATACTGAAAAATTTTTCCGAATTAAAATGAAATTCATGATGTGATGAAACTGTCATCATTTCAATAGATCTATTTATTTATTTATTTTTTGTTTTGACAGAAAGACATTAGCTTTGGCTTTAAATAAATCTTTTTACTTTTATTTTTTATTTCCTGAAATACAATAGAAAGACGTCAAATTTATGGTAACAATAGAATGAGCTGAGCCAAATGATGAAAAATGAAAGATATTCTTTCGCTGTATTGATTAATAAAATGATTAAATAATATATTAAAAGTCCACATATTCAACTAATATTACATCATCGATTGAATTTTTATTGCGACACAGCTGTTGAGTTAGCTACGAAAACAAATGAAATAATTATTTATCCAAACAATCACCTCTGCTGATAAATTAGAGGTCAATCGAAAAAATTAGTTATAATTAATGCTTGGCATAACAAAGAATTATGTGAACATTAAAAAATGGCTATCATAAATGATTAATTCTAAAAATCAGACCACAGTGTGTCACCTGCCATGATAGGCGACACAATGTCGCCTGATTTTCAA